TTCTTTATGAAAAACGACTCTTTTTATTTATTTATTTACGTAAGCTTAATGAAGTTCTCAAGAAGTTAACTCAGAGTGAGATACTAATTAACTAATACATGTGCAAAAATAAAATAAAACAATAATTAACTATGGCAATACATTGGGATAAACTAATATTCCGTGATAATTTTATTTATTTCTCATTTTTTGTCAAATAGTATGATAATTAATGCAAGCCTAAACTTTTCTCACCCTGTTTAGATTTATTCGCTGGACTTCAGAGCTTAGTAAGCTCAAGGTTTAGAATTCGAGTCCCACTAAATGTTCTTTGTGGCTAATATTCGTTGTCTCTACAGTGACTTACCCGACCCGAGTAAGGAGACGCCCTTCCTAGTCCTCGGGGATTAGTCGGGTTATTGAGGGACCTTAAGGGTTCGTGCCATCCTAGACACCCCGAGTTAATAAAAAAATATAAATAAATAATAAAAATAATAATAATAATAATATGAACATTTATAACTCTTTATCTCTAGCTTGTAAGGGAAATTCAAAAAGCCCGGACTAATGATACTCTTTAAAGTATTGTATGCCTATAAGACATTTATTTGTAAGAAATGGATACGTGATTTACTTCTATTATTTGGTGCTTAAATAAAATAGATATCAGATTAATATTATATTATTTGATCAACTTATAAATTATCTTTTTTGTAATTAATTATTGGAGAATTATTTTCCTATTTATTCCTTACTTCGATGGAAAATGGAATTAATATTACTAAAAAGAAAAATTGGTCATCTCTCTACTTTTATAAAGTGCATATTCCCATCAATTATGTACGCTAATGAAAACAACACGTATAATATTTATATGTGCAAAAGGTCAAAAGAGATAAATCGGTTTCTACGCTTTGGCTATTGCAGTTTAACATGTTGTTTGTTCTGCAGAAATGATCTTGACGATCGCCTTGATCTTTTCGAGTTTTACAATTACAGATCGAGATATTTATATCTAACTATTTATTTATGTATTATAGATATGTGAAAATTATTAAGTTCTAAGATATGGGATTCATGTAAATTTGTGATTAATGGTTTTCATGAATTATTAAAGGTTGCATGTGGTATCAGAACAATTTTTATGAAATCCGCACACATATATATTTAATGATTATATAATCCATTCTAATTAGGCTCGTGGAAATAATTGTTTAATATCTGATTAATCTCCTAGTGGTTTGTGTTGATCAGTTTATATAGCAAGCAATTTATTTATATTTGCTACTTTGATTTTCGAGCGTGATTAAATTGGTTGGAAGATAATTGATTCATGTACAGATCTATAGGAAAAGTGATTCATGCACATGTAACGAATTTTGCTTTGATGATTGATATATATATATATATAAATATATATATTTGTCTTATATGAATATTTTAAATAAAGTAATTAAAAGTGCAATTAAAGATATACTTGAATATTAATTATTTTTATTTAATTATTTTTTTAAAGCATATGTTTGGACTAACAACATATGCATTATTCAAGTCAAGAGTGCGATTCGAAGATGAGACCTTAAAAACTTACCTTTCGAATTCCTGTGAACGCTATTATACCATTTAGAATAACAACTTAATTGTTTGAGAAACATGTTTTTTGATTGGTTATTATCTGTTGGTGCTCTTTGTAATGTTAGGGGTTGGTGAAAAGCCTCTTTTAAACGTGTTTTGATAATTAGTCTCTATGCTCTACGCGTTTTAAGTGGGAAATGGCATGGGAATAGGTTTTTTGTATGCTTCTTAGAGCTGTATGTGATCTTTGAGTGACTCGCTTCTTAACTTAAATTATTAATGTCACAATCACTTTGCATATCATTTTCAATTCTAGTTATTTTGCACTCCTTTTCTTTGTCGATCTCGATCTTGTTTTTCCAACCTGCCTTGGTAAGACTTGCTAGCTCACATGCGCCAAAAGTAAGGTATGGTATTCAAATAACAATCTATATATGTATTATATTATCAACAATTATTGTGCCCATTTGTCCAAGCTTTGTTCCGACTTCAAATAAAATAGTTCGTTTTATTCAACACACATATATATTGTGTATCTGTGTGTGTAATTATATAATATAGAAGGGTTGGTTTCTTGCTGTAATGAGTTCAAAAGAAGGTGTATGAGCCTTCTATTTTTGTTGGCACCTTAACCATCAGTACGTATTAAATATATTTTGCAAACGCATTGTGGGAATATTCGAGAACAAAAAAAAAAAAAATAATAAATAAATAATAAAAAATAAAAAATATTCGAGAACAAAGACAAGTGAATCCGAGTATGAGATTTGTATTTCATGAGAACTGATTGTGATCATAAGATTAGGAAATGTGGTAAATTATTTGATATTTGTAAATCGATATATACATGGTATAAGCCAATGTTAAGGTTGGTTTATGTGCTTTGGTTTTACTAAAGAATGAATTTCAGAGGCGGTTTACATTTGTGTTGAATAATTATAATAATGCATCTGGCGCATATTTTTTTGGATTGTTCATATAAAACAGGATCTTTTTTATAATAATTTTATTCATATAGAATTAAGGCAATATATATATACATGGACTTACACGCTGCATGAGTTTGACACAACATTTTTTAATCAAGAAACTTTAAATACAATTAATTAATTAAATAAATTTCCTTCTCCATCTTTTTGCATTATATTATCAAAATGGAATTCTTACTAGAACACTCATCCAGATAACCATGCATATCCCAAGTATTTAGCCCCCATATCTTGCAGTTTCCATGTCTTAAATGATTGAAAAAGGGATGCGCCGTTTTGTTCCTTCAATATTAGAAATACAAAAACAAGTCCAGTTTTACTTTTACCTATCATTTTGTATACATATAAATATATATATATATATATATATATATATATATATATATATATTCCATGTCTTAAATGATTGAAAAAGGGATGCACCGTTTTGTTCCTATACAAAAACAAGTCCAGTTTTACTTTTATCTACCATTTTGTATATATATATTTGGTAAGTAAGTATAGAAAAAAGCCATTTTGTAGCCGTATATCGCATATAGACGTCTAAAAGCACTCTAAAATTTTACAGGAATTTACAAAAAAAAAAAAAAAAAAATTCAATAAATTATGTAAGCATCTAAGAATTCAATATAAAGAAAGAGTAGTGATAAAGAAACAGAAGGTTTCTACCGAAATAAATACCGAATCTTACGTGGCTTTGTCCACGTCAAATAATTTCATTACCTAACTCCTTATCATCAATCTTTTATCTCCCCATTTTTTCTTTTTCTCTTTCTTCCTCTTCGTTTCTCTCTCATGTTCTCTGTGTCTGGTTGTTCACCAATTCTTGTTATACATCCCCTCTCTTGATGTACACATATCCAAAGTATTCTAGAGACAAGATCCAAAATTCTTTATCCTCGCTCCTTTTCAGGATCACCTACTTTTCTCTATTCATAAGTCTTCCAAGAATAAATCTTTCCAGTCCCATATGAAAAATATGCAGAAGATTTTTTTTTTTTTTTTTTGGGTAATTAAATATCCACACAAGAGTTGCCATTACAAAACACATTAATCTCTTACGAAAAAAAAAAAAAAAAAAAAAAAATACCCCACTAACCCAGAGAAGAGAAAATCTTCTCAAAGTTTCTGTTATGATTTTTATGATACAAATTTCTTTCTCTTTTACTTTTTTGTTCTGTTTTGGTTTTGTGCTACAGTATTTGTAAAAGAATGAAGAAATTTAATTTTTTATTTTATTTTATCTTCAATCTTGCGAAATCAAAAAGAGAGACAAAGCCAAAATCAAAGATAAAATTGAATAGTACAAAAGAAAAATTGAGAATTAGGGGAAGAGAGAAAGGAAGAGGTAGGAGTTATTTTTAAAAAAATAATCTGACGTGGCTGAACCACGTTAAGTTTAACCTTTTTTTCGGTTGTTTGGTTCGATTTTCTTATCATTTTCCTAAATGCACAATAATTTTTGATTTTTTGTCAATTTATTTATTTTTTAGTTAGGGGTATAATTGTCCATTTGCACAATAAACATTGAATAAAAGTGAAGGCAAAGGTAATTATTCAAAATACAGGAAAGACAAGTGTAATAAATACGAGAGGTAGGCATAATTTACCCTTGATAAAATTGGGATCCATATGTTACATTTTACATGTAACTAAACACAAATCCAGGCAAGTGTAACAAGTTGTAAGTAGAAGAAATGTCATTGTAATTTATCCTTAATATCGTACACTCTCGTATATGAATTCCATACAAACATGTCATCTCTGAAAAATTATGGTGTATGATAGATCATTGAGGCATGTACTGTCGTTTTGGGTTTGGGTTGGGGTACAGTGGGAAACAATTAAAAATTTTAGACCTGCTTGTTTTGTCGGTAAGAAAATATATTTATATTTTCAGTGAACTAAAAATTAGAAAACTTCAAAAACTCTACTTGATTTAGTTTTATCTATTTTAAGAGAATTGATAGATTTATATTTTCAGTGAACTAAAAATTAAAAAACTGTTCAAAAACTCTACTTGATTCAGTTTTATTTGTTTTAAGAGAATTGATAGATTTATATTTTCAGTGAACTAAAAATTAGAATATTGTTCCAAAAACTCTACTTGATCCAGCTTTACCTGTTTTCAGAGAATTGATTTTTATAGTTATCTAGAAACTAATTTTTTTCTTTTTTGAGTTATGAAGAACTATTTTTTGAGTGACACAATCCAAGTAGGCTTTTGATATTTTCGGTTTTCGCCTCTTTTTCGAAAGCACACACTTTACTATTTAAATCACACTAAACGTTACCGTACACAGTTTTTTTTTTTTTTTTTAAACACACATTGTACTATTTAAATCACAATAAATGTTATCATACACATTTCTGCGTTTTACTTCGTTACAATACACCATCCGTAATAAAAAAAAACACACAGTAAAAGTGGTGCCAAATAAGTCGCACCTAGCTAACATGAAAAGAAAACACACTAAAAGTAAGTTTAAAATTCAAATTTCTCTAAAAATCACAAAAATATATAAAGAGAGACCTAGTCACGAAAAACTATTAAATATCAAAATTCATAACAATCTGAGTTTACTTGGGCCATAAACAAAACAAAAAATCTCAAGCATACGATAGACAAACGTGGTTTTAAAACCCTAAACGCTGGAATTTAAAAAAAAAAAAAATTGCGTTCTGTTATGGCGATTTGCAGACACGTTGGCCTTGTCTCAAAAAAATATGTTAGACTGTTCGGCAACATTGTTCCACATCATCAATCTAAATATATCCAAAAGACTGAAAATTTATGATATTATTACAAAATATAGCGCTTTAACAAGTTTTCACATTACATTTTGCTCAGACACTAAATTATGTTGTTATCACTTGCTAGAAAGGGAAGCACACAGAAGCAAATATATTACACTCGATGTTAATCTGCAAACGTACGTTCACTAGTATAAAGGCTAGACCGTAGTAATTTATAGTTCACTGTACTCTTAACTACATCAAGTGTGCTGAATTTTCTCCTTGGAAAGTACAAGAGGAGAGAAAAACAACTATATCCTTCTTTCTTAAGCTTGATGATGCTCTAAAGCTCGTATGTCATTCCCACTTTTAGCATGCGCTCGTGAGGTATATCAAACACCTTGTCTGCAGTCTGTCTTAAATTCCCCTTCAAGAAATTGAAAGCATAATCTATCAACATCTTCTTTCCTATGTTAGCTCCTTTCCCTGCAATCACTTCATTCTCACCCATCAAGTGAACAACCCCGGCTCGCCATGCTTTCTCCACCACTTCAAGCTCTCTCTCCATTCCTTCTATTTGTTTCTCAGCTTCAGCTTGCTTTAAATCCTCCATTGCACTAACTGAGCCATCATCATCTATTAATTCTCCATCCCTTTCTGCTCCGTCTTGGTTATTGCACACCATTGCACGAAACATCGAATCCTCTCTAATGAACTCCTTCAACCTGTCAACTAACATCCTTTCAAAGGGCTCTTGTTCATTGTGTACATCGGTGTATCCATACCTCACAACGCAACGGAACACATTAAGCTCATCTGGTTTTACTCTTCTGAAGAGAACTCGCTGTTCTACTGGAACTTTGCTCACGGGTAATGACTTAATTGAGACAAAGACAAGGACGGAGTGTAATGCAGGTATATTTTCCACATAATGGTTGAAGATGGGTGGAATTCCGTGAACAAGCTCTGAGTAGAAGATAGCGAGTCCTGGCATTCGACAAAGTTTTGTATCAGCAGCTATCTCCTGCACCTTCTCTGGAGAAATCTTGTGATCTAGCTCGTAATGGTATTTCCTTCTGTATACATCATTCCAAATGTACATTATAGTCATTAGAACCATTGCAAAAGCCAAAGGTAGGTATCCTCCTTGATCGAATTTGTAGAGCACTGAACTTAAATACAAAAATTCAACAGAGCCAATGACAAGAACATATGAAATTACGAGAAGTATGTGGGTTTTCCATATCATTATCATGACCAGTACTAGGAATGATGATGTGAGAGTCATTACAAACACCACCGCAATCCCTGTATATAATCAAGTTATTAATTCCCAATATATCTCACCGAAGAATCAAATGAATTGTGACTTAGGCTACATTAATGTGTAAGTGTAGAAGAGTTGTGAATTGAAATATTTACGTACCATATGCATTGCCAATCTTTAAAGTAGTTCTGAAGCCAACAGTGACTCCAACACAAGCCAACATGAGAAGATAATTGACTTCAGGAATATAAACTTGTCCCTCGTACTTAGCAGAAGTGTGAACAACTTTAACTCGAGGAAAGCAGCCTAGAGAGAGGGACTGTTGGATAATGGAGAAAGTCCCCGATATCATGGCTTGGCTTGCTATGATTGATGCCAATACAGCCACCACAAACATTGGCCAATACACACCATCTGCATTGCAATTAATTTTCTGAATCAGTATATAAATCAAAGAATGGAATTAGACATATCAGTATGTACTACTCCTGCTTACGTGGTATGGACTTGTAGAAGGTTTTTGAGACCAAATCATTGTGCTTGCGAAGGAAAGAGGCTTGTCCAGTGTAAGCTAATACGAGTGCAGGGTAAGTAACAGTGCACATACTTAGTTGTATAGATCGAACGGTGAAGTGTCCAACATCCGCAAATAATGCTTCAGTTCCTGCATTTTCCACACAATGAATAATGGTTCAACAAGTAACCTTTTTCGGGTTTGCTATGTTCATCAAATTAGAGGGAAGCAAGTAAAAAACATGAACAGTCCAAGTACCTGTTATGGCGAGGACAACGCCACCAAGTGAAACCCATGCTTGTTTTTTGTTCCTTTTGAAATAATCAATGATGTACTTTGGATTTAAGGCTTTAACAACAGTGGGATCAAATTTGAAGAAGTTGTAGACGCCAATGCCGGCAATGAGACCGAACCAGACACATATAATTGGAGCGAAGGTGTAGCCAACTTTGTCAGTTCCAAATCTTTGGACCATGAATAGGCAGACTAAGATAGCAACTGATATCCAAACAATCTTCCCTGCATGCATACAAATCAATAAATAGTACTAGCTAGTTTGTTAGTTGTTACTTGGAAATTAAGATTCTTATGACCAAAAAAATCTTATGATACTTATATTTAATCATGCAACTAAAAATCTTGTTATCCTTTTCACGTTGAATACTTACCTTCTGTCATGGAGGATGTAGCTTCCTTGATCCCTCCTACAGCCGATAACACTACCGTCCAGTTGGAACAACATGTGATATATATGTTAGTCAAAAATCATAACCATATAATCATATTAATTATGACGAATGAGTTAGGGAGGTGAATTACAAAACACTTTTTGCTTTTGCTTTTGCTATTTTTTTTTTTTTTTTTTTTTACTCAAACCATCCAAAAGGGTGATGCTAGCACAAATGGACAACATTGAATTCGATCCAATCACGCTGTAATTATAATTTATACAAGTGATACCCCACTCACATAAAGGCAATGGAATATTTAATATATAAAAGTGTCAAACAATATAGAGTCAATCAACAATTTCAAAAGAGGAATTAATACATCTTTCTTATTTTCATAAAATTTTAAAATTTTACATTTTAGGACTAAATTAACCTTTAAAATTCTTAGTCTTTATTTTCATTTCCATTTGTATATATTTACATACATGTATATAACCTTTATTATTTTCATTTTTGTACAATTGTCTTTATATATATATTATATATATGCTCACGTTGATGGATTGTTTAGTTTTCACCATTATTAAATTCTAATTGAAGTAATATTGTGAAATTTGAATTTTAATTGAATTAAAATCATAGAATTTGAGTTTTAGTTAATTATGTGTGCGTATATATATATAAACAAAGGAAAGGAAATTTTTGAAAAAAAATAAAAAGGAAAGGAATCACATGAGTTTTTTTTTTTTCTTTTCTTTCTGAATCGTTAACGTAATATTAAGGGCATATATATATATGAATAAACAGATTTTTTTTAATTCATTTTACCAATATGGGCTGTCTAGGCTGTGGGCCTGTTTTGGGCTGTTTCTTGCTTGGTTAGCCTGGGCTAACTTTCAATGTAAGCTTTGGTTTATCAATAAATTTATCTTTACCTTTCAGAAAAAAAAAAAAAAAAAACAGAGTTACGAACCATTAAAAAAATTGCAAGAATGAAGGTAATAATATACATGTAACAAATTAAAGAAGGAAGATTATATATGTGTATGCAGGAGGGAAAAGTGTTAAGTTTAAAGGCTAATTTGGTCCTAAAATATTAAGTTTTAAAATTTTTAGAAAATTGAGATGCATTAAATATACCTTTTATGATTAATTTTTTAACCAATCAGAGGCGCTAGCAGTCCTCATTTCAAAATAATATGAACCCATTACGAATATCGTGGATGCTAAGATGAGAAAAATAAAAATAAAAATGCAAAATATGTGTGTAGAAAATATGAGGAAAAGAAAAAACTATTCTCATATCCAAGTATGCATGGTAATTAGTGGATTTGTAAGTAAACCTGATATGCAAGGTGTGAGGACACCATCACCAATGACCATGGAAGTGCCGAGCATAGTGGCAAATAATAGGAAGAACTTGGCAAATCGGCTATTCTCTACCGTAGACTTGAGCTTAGATGCTCGTCGCAAGCTTTTATTATTATTAGGCAATTCAAGCTTATAAGTGGACACTTCTCGGTCTTCTGCTTCTTGACTTGGGATCAAACCCACCTTCACATATCGGCATAGGAGAGAATACAATGCAAATGTTCCTCCTGAAATAATTAGAAAGCTAATTAAAAATATCATACAATTAATTCGGTGGGTGGAATTGATCATCACTTGATTAATTTCCTCTTTAATACAATTAATGATTTCTTACCATACCATACCATACCAGTTACAGTATAAAGCCAGATATTTAAATAGAAAATTACAAGTTTTTTTTTCGATAATTAAATTACAAGATTTTTTTATTATGGTAAGATAAGAGATTGTAAAAGATAAAAAAGGAAATAAAATTAATGACGATAGAGTGTTTGAGGGAATTGCTTTAACTTGTACCTAAATAATAATAATAATTGTAATATAAGACGCCCTTTATTATTTTTTGTATAATTACTTGGTTCTCACCTTCTCCGTTATCATTTGCCCGTAACACGACTAAGACATACTTGATAAGAGGAATGAGGGTGAGGGTGTAGAAGATCAAAGAGAGAGCACCCAAAATGTCGTCGTTGTGTTTAATATCTCCGTCGCTAAAAATGCTGGCAAAAACGTAAAGAGGTGAGGTTCCGATGTCTCCGTACACTACCCCGAGGCTCTGGAATGCTAGATGCAGTATCACCGACCAATCCGCAGTACCCTTTATAAATAACACAGCATCGGTCACATATATAGATGATAATAATAATTGTAACACATAATATATATATATAGAGAGAGTTTTATTTTGTTATATATATATATATATACACCTTGGAGTTGTGAGCGTGATGGCCTTCAATCTTGGCGGATTCAATATCCAAGGAGTCACGTCGCCTGAGCTTTTGCCAAGAAAGTTTCTTTCCACTGCGTGGTAGCGGGCTAAATGCTGGAACTGTAGCATCTTCTACTACATGATCATTATTATCATCACGGATAGACATCATTCACAAATTGCAGCCAACAAGTAGATGAGAGAGAGAGAGAGAGAGAGAGAGAGAGAGAGAGAGAGAGGAGGAGGAGGAGGAAGGTGCTAGAGATGCTGAACTTGGTGAAGGTGGACTAGTATTTAAAGGCCTAAAAAGTCGCCATCGTAACTTCCAAAAAAAAAAAAAAAAAAGTCGCCATCACACGTGTGGAAACTATCACGCATGAAAATTGCTGGCGGATGTTTTTAGGCCCGAGTGAAGTTGAACCTTTAATGCTCATATTAAGAAATGGGGGGTTTTAAGAGAATATGTAATTAATGTATTATTTTTTAAAAAAATTATTAATTCGTCTTTTTAATTTAAATATGTATACAAAGTTAGAATTTTTTAAAAAATATGAAGGACAAAGATGAAAATATAAGGAGTATTTGCTTTGACTAATATGAGAACAGAGGTAATACTTTAGAATCCTTGAACTTGGATCTCTATTACTTTAGAATGCAAAAATATACTAATAAACTATAGCATTTAAAGATATCTACTTGTATGAATCTAATTGAATTGAATGAAAACTTTTGGTTGATATAAATATATCATTTTTCATTTTAAAATAGATAATATATTAATTATATGTTCTGTTAAAAAAGTAATTTTTTTTTAAAAAAAAAAAGACTATTAATATGAGGCAGAGAGAATTTTTTTTAAAAAAATTCTAATATAAAAAATATTATTAATATTAGATAGTCCTCTTGTCTGGTTCAAACAAAACTCCTTAATGAAAAATTTGACTAAAAAATTTTAACAGAATAACATAAAAAAAAAAAATTTGATATATGATTTGAATGGATGATCACTAAGTTAAAATTTGAACCATCTAATAAATTTTTAACTATTTTTCCAATGAATTTGGAAAACTTTAGAGCATCTCCAACCGTTGTGTATATATATATTTTTTTTTGTAAATCTGATGTATCACGATGAATTTGCACAAAAATTACGGTTGTTTTATACCTTTTGTGTAAAAATATATCTCCCAATAATAATCAACCATGTGTCATGCCAAGTCCCACATAATTTTTACAAACTTACTTAATATATGTTTATTCTTTAATGGAATGAGAAAGAAGGATGAAAAATGAAATATGTTGATTTGGCCGTGTAAAAAGGTTGTTGTGGAGGGAAAAAAACTCCCTCCAATAAAAAGCGCACACGTCATCACTACACTCCAAGGACATATAAGGCCTATCATGCTCAAGCTCAAATTGAGGGTATTTTTAGCCCAAGACCATTGTTATTTGTCTTCCAGCCTCCATCAAGGCCGAATCAAGAGGTCATCGGCCCAACTGGTTAGTATTTAAACATCTGGTCCGTTACTCAAGCCCAGCCGGATCAAAGTATGTTCAGCCCAGTTATTCAAGAATGCACAAGTCCTATCAGTTGAAGGATTTACCGTAGAAGGAAAATTCTGAGATAGGAAGTTCTGTACAAGGCAAGTTCTATGTATGGAAAATTAGACAATGGAAAGAACTCTACTAGTAAAAAATGTTTATATAGAAAGAATTTGAGGGCAAACAAGGCGAGTCCTACCATAATTTTACAATCTTTTGTATATAAATAGAGGCTTAGACCTCCAATAAAGGGATCAAGCAATTCTACGCTTCGAGATATATTATTCTTGTTTATTTTACTATTGATTGAGTGAGTTGTTTTATTTTTCTTAATCATTATTGGTTGAGCGAAATTTTGCACCTACACTTTGGCGCCGTCTGTGGGAATCGTATAAAAATATACTCCCACTTGTTCTTCAAATCAAATCCTTAGTCGTATCTGGAATGTCAAACGGAGAGTCAGCAATGAATCAACAGATAGAATTGATGCAAAAGATGCGAGAGGAGTTCTTACACCAATTTGAGACACTCCGGCAAGCAAACGATACGAGTGTCGCCCAGATAGCTGCGCTTCAGCAGCAGACTCATACGCTGCACACGGCAATGGCCAGGCTAACGCCACAACCACCACCAGGCGATGCTGCAGCACCACCCCCCACCCAGAATTTACCTCCAGTTCACGAGCCTCCGGCCAACGGGACACCACCCAACGGGGCTCGACCTAATGAGGTTCAGCAAAAGCAAGGGACGAGGTCCGAGGCGGTTGCTTCGGATAATCTCCCGTGCCGCACACAGGACGAACAGGCCGAGTCCAGCCATAGGCTTACGGTATGGTTCAATGGCGCTCCAGATGGCGCACGCGTACAAGATGCCTTCGACGAAAAGAAACTATTAAGAGTTCAGACACCAGTCGAGATGGCTAGAGAGCACAAGAACTCCTTGGTCAAGACCCCCTTTACTGACGATGTGTACCTTGTGGAGAGACCAAAGAAGTTCACTATGCCATCCTTCACCCAATTCGATGGGGCAGGAGACCCCTCTCGGCATCTCGATCATTATGCGCAAAAGATGGCACTGGACGATCATAACGATCCGTGGATATGTAAGGTTTTTCCTACCAGTTTTACCGGAGCAGCGTTAGAATGGTTCAGGAATAGGCCACACAAGTCTATCCCTGATTATAAGACCTTGTGCACTATGTTCTTAGCCTAGTATTGCGGAAATAAGAAGCAGAAGAAAAGTATCACCAGCCTTTTCACCATAAGGCAAAGGAAGGGAGAAACTTTGCAAGATTTCTTATCCAGGTTTAACATGGAAGCCTCGGAGATAGCAGATTGCCACCCTGCCACGGCAATCGAAACATTTAAGTTGGCAATGATCCAGGGAACCAAGTTTCACACATCCTTGATCAAATATTCCCCCCCGGATATGCAGACTTTGAACGCTAGGGCACAAATCTACATTCGGTTGGAGGAAAACGTAGCCCACCGTGCACAGCACGCTACCCTCGTCACAGTGGAAAACAAGTCTCGAGAGAAAGCTGCAAGCACAAGGATGCAGAAGGTTCCTCATACCGCCACACAAGTCACCCAAGCGCCTGAGAAGAGGCGAAGGACAGAGGACAGGCTTACCCCTCTCCGTACTACCTTAGCGCGCCTATTCCAAGAGAATAAGACGAGGTTCGCAACTCCTCAGCCCATGAAATAACCCTTGGAGCAAAGGGACAAAAGCAAATATTGTGCCTACCATAGAGACTATGGGCATACCACCAATGACTGCAGGTCCCTTCAGCGACAGGTAGAAAGCATGATAGCGAGAGGAGAGTTGGTGGAGTATCTCGCCACGAAGGAGTACGTAAAACCTCGGGAGGTTAACCCTCGACGGGTGGAGGACGGTCAGGTAAAGGTTATCCATGCCATACACGGAAGGTCAGAGGATGATGAAGAGTCTGAAGAATTGTACAGATCCAGGCTGAGAGAGGCTCATAAGTTACGAAGATTGTCTTCGGTAAACACGGTTGCACTAGGCAGCATCAACATTGGATTCGGTAACAATGATCTGTCTAGAGTCCAGCGCCCGCATGAGGACCCCTTGGTCATCAGCCTCCTGGTAGCGAATTATATGATCAGGAGGGTGCTGATAGATCCGGGAAGTAGCGCCAACATCATTACAAAAGCAGCCTTCGATCAGCTGGGGGTCTCACCATCGTCCATCAGGCCAACTTCTAGCCCCCTAATGGGGTTTAATGGTACTAAGGTGAATCCGCTTGGGGTGATCGATCTATCCGTTACTGGAGCAAAGAGGACTCTGAAGGAGAACTTTATAGTGACGGAAATTAATCCATCTTATAACCTCATTGTGGGGAGAGGTTGGATCCATCGTATGAACGGAGTCCCTTCTACCCTTCGTCAAGTAATGAGGTGTTTATCCCCAGATGGCAGGGAGGTCATCGACCTCTGGAGAGACCAGGTTGCTGCAAAAGAATGTTACATGCTAACGCTACATGAAGCAAAGAAGGGGTCGAAATCACCTCCGTTAGAGGCGAATCCCAAAGACGCAATCAAATAGCAATTACAGTATCCTCTGCCCAAGTATCTCAAGGCAGAGGAAGAAGCCGATGTTGAAGCACCTACCGAGGAATCCCTCGAAGCTATAGAGGTAGTCCTCAGAGACCCTCAGAAAGTCACCTACATTGGCTCATCTTGCATAGCCGAAGAGAATGAAGCATTGATCAGGGTCATTCGGTGCAATTCGGATATCTTTGCCTGGGATCACTCGGACATGGTAGGGATCGATCCTACGGTCTCATGCCATAGTTTGAGGGTTAACCCAGAATTCAGGCCAGTCAAGCAGAGGCACCGACGGTTCGCACCTGAACGGAATCGCATAATAGCCGAGGAAGTAAATAAACTATTACAAGCAGGATTCATTCGAGAGGTGCAATACCCACAATGGCTCTCAAATGTAGTAGTCGTTCAAAAGAAGAATGGGAAATGGAGGGTTATGAGAGGCTCACATTCCTCGATGCATACTCCGGCTATAATCAAATTCCCATGAATCCTGAAGATGAGGAGAAAACCGCTTTCATCACAGAGACGGGCACTTATTGCTACAGAGTGATGCCCTTCGGTCTAAAGAATGCCGGAGCCACCTACCAGCGACTTGTCAATAAAATCTTCAATAATCTACTGGGGAATACAGTTAAAGCCTATATCGATGACATGGTGGTCAAAAATATACGAAAAGAGGACCAGCCGAAGCACCTCCAGGAGGTCTTTGATACTCTCAAGAGGTACAATATGAAGCTGAACCCCACCAAGTGCTCCTTCGCCGTTTCGTCAGGACAGTTCCTCGGACACATTGTAAATAAAAGAGGAATAGAAGTAAGCCCAGCTCAGGCAAAGGCACTCATACAGAACCAAGAGCCAAAAACCCGCAGGGAAGTGCAGGTTCTAACCGGCCGAATTGCGGCTCTCAGCCGGTTCATATCCCGATTATCTGATAAGTATAAACCTTTCTTTGATGCTATTCGATCCAAAAACAAAGATATGTGGGGACCTCAGCAGCAGGAAGCTCTCAATCAATTGAAAAGCTACATGACAAAACCCCCAATCCTTTCTGCTCCAACGCCCGGAGACACTCTCATCCTGTACTTGGCAGTATCAGCTGTAGCAACAAGCGCAGTGTTGATTAAAGAAGGAGGCAAGGTTCAGCACCCAATCTTTTACACAAGCAAAACGATGACGAATGCCGAGACACGGTACAGCAAGACGGAAAAGGTAATCCTGGCGTTAATTTATGCCAAGAGGAAACTTCGACATTACTTCGAATCTCACAGCATAGTGGTACTTACAAATCACCCTATACGGGCTATCCTAGCTAAACCAGACTTGTCTGGTCGAATTACAAAATGGGCTATTGAACTTAGCTCTTTTGACATCACCTA